CCCTCTCTGCTCTTTGCCAAAGTACGTCAAATATTAATCTTTGAACATGGCCGGGCCCATGGTGCTGAAGCGAGCTGGGAGAAAGACAGCGAGTGTTGTTTAAAGTGAGAACAATGCGTTGTCCTTCTTTGACATCAATGTGGCACAACCGACCGATTCGCAAGATGCAGTGACCCTGTCGTACATGCGACAGGCCCTCGTCACCGCGCTCAGTGCGCTTACGCCGGTCTCCCTCCTCACCATCGAAAGCCTGTACCCGCACCCACCCCTTAACCCATCCCTGCCGGGAAAGTGGTACATGTTGCCGACGGGTCGTACCAAGTTTGTGATACCGTGCGACGGCACGCTTGCACTGCTCAACGCTGCACCCCTACTCATGTTGCTGGCGGTGCACGTGGACGTGGACGATTACAACAAGCTCCCCCCGCCGTTGAAACTCACGATGAACACACCCTTTCGGGTGAAGAAGGGACAGACGCTCGCCTTTCGTCTTCTGCAGGAGTCGCCCACAGCACATATGGACGATTACCATTTGTACCTTCGCTTCGAGTATCGTATGGCGCTTCCGCTCACGCCGCCGCTGAACACACGTGCGTTGTAGGATGAGTTGGTATAAAGGGTGGACCGTGACGGGTGGAGTGGTCAGTCGCGAGGGAGGCGCACACGAGTGAAGGAGGAAGGAGTGTGAGACAAATAGAGAAAGAGAAAGAGAAAGAGAGAGAGAGCGTCCCATGCGGAACCGCCCCACGATGACGAGTGAACCATCGAGCACTGGTGCCGGTGGAGGCCGGAAACGCAAGAGCAACAGTCGTCAGAGACGACGACGACGTGTGCTTCCCATCGCAAAACGAGGAGGGTTTCTCCCGCCATTGGCCGCCCTGGGCGCGATCAGCTCGCTTGCGGGCGGCGCGGCGGCCATTGTGAATTCCGTCAACAACGCAAAGCACGCGAAAAAGGTGTTGGAAGAGGCAATACGACACAACAAAGTGATGGAGGGCAAAGGGCTCCGTCCGCGTCGACGCGCCCACACAACAGGGAGAAGAATAAAAAAAAAATCTGCTCTGAAGGTGATTGAACGTGTTCCGGAGCGTGTCCTCACGCATCGTGAAGTGACGCACTACGCAAAAGCATGTGGTCTCCCGTATTTCCGAGGCGTGTTTATGCGCGAACAGCTGCCGGCGCGACCGCGACGACGCGAGTCGGGCGTCATCAATCTGGATGATGTGCGTGGGGAAGGGACGCATTACGTGGCCTACGTCAAAAGAGGAACAGATGTGCGCTACTTTGACTCCTTCGGACTCCCACCGCCGAGGGCGTTCGTACGCTACGTCGGACCCGACGTGACGATGCGTTACAACATGAACCGTGTGCAGGCGTTTGACAGCGAGAATTGCGGACGGCTGTGTTTGCAGTTTATATATGAGACGTCACGAGAACTGGACAAGGACCACTCCTAGAATGACGACGCTCACGTTGACACTGGTAGGGGAGGGATCGGCGTTGACGGTGCGGTACGCGCCGCCGCTCGACTTCGGAAACGTGCCCCACGACATGGCGCTCACTGCGCTTCGGACGGTCAACAACGTGGAGAACGTGCGACAGGGTTGCAACACCTTGACGTTCTCCGCCACGGGAGAGCAGGCGGGGAGGACCCGCGTGACCCTCCCCACGGGCACGTACACCTTGGACGACATCGAAGCGTTCGTCCAGTCGGCCTTGCGTGCAAGCGACCTAGGCGCAAGTCACGTGTTTCATTTGCGAGGCAACATCAACACACAACGCTGCACAGTGGAAACGTCATTGTACCTGCATTTCGACGAAGCCGATTCGATCGGTGCTTTGCTTGGGTTTCCGAAAACGATTCTACCACCGACCAGTGGCACGACCAGCCCGAAAACCGACGATGAGAAGACAGGAAAGGCGGTGGACGTCGACAACGGGACAGCACCGGCGCGCGCAACGCTGATCGACGATTTCGAGTGGTTCATAGAATGTAATGTCGTAGAGAGCGGCTATATAAACCACAAACCCTCGCACGTGCTTCATCACTTCCACGTCGTCGACCCTCCGGGCCACGTGGTCACGGAAACACCCGTCCATCCCGTCTTCCATCGCGTGACGCGGACGCGCATCGAGGAGCTGACGCTGCGTTTGGTCAACGCCCAAGGAGAGCCTATCCGCTGTCCGAAGGAGTCCTCTTCGCTGCAGACTCCTTGTGCGGGCCGTGCGTGGGGTTTGATCAGCGTATCAGCATGCGAGCTCGCTTGCCGCCGCGCCACAGAGTACCGTGTCCCCCGATAGCGCTCACGTCAGTGAGTCGACGTGTCCTGCGAGAGCTCGGTTACGAGTTGAGAGCGGATCAACAACACCAACAACAGCGGACACGCCGTGACGGACAGCCACGACGCACGCGCGCGCCACGACGAACACGTACGCGCATCGGCAAACACACACGCGTGTAGTCTGTCATGTATAGTACGTCACTCGTCCATCGTTTCACCATCCCTCCTCCTCCTCGTTGACTGTCGCGACCTGAACGATAGCAACCCGGTCAACATGGATAAATGCCGCGTCATGCTCGCAGCGACGATACGCCTTCACGTATAAGAAGTCGTGCTCGTGCGCCGCCGCGTCACAGTGTGCCGTGACTCGCGATAGCGCTCACATAACCGAGGCACCCCCACCCTCCTTCCTTTTCACCAGCAGCAGCGGACAATTCATCATGCCGTCCGTCAACGTAGAAAACGTGCTCAACGTCGACTTGCTCGAACAACAAGGTGCCATCATCGGTAGTGAAATACACGTCTATAGACCTTTCAACGACGCCTTCGACCACAATGACACGTTACGTATCCCTATACAAGACAATGATGGCTACACGGTGCCCGGCGATAGCGTGCTCGTGATCGAGGGCAAAGCCGTGAAGACCGCAAACACCGCTCAGGCGACGCCGTGCAAATGGGTGACCAACGCCTTCGCGCATCTGTTGGCCGACGCACGCTATGAACTGAACAACATCGAAGTGGACAGAGTTCGCTGGCCCGGTATCACCAGCACCCTCAAGGGTCTCGTGTTGTTTTCCGCGGAGGAACGTGAAACGCTGGCGTACGCGGGATGGCCCCGCACCAGCGACGAATCAACCCTCTCGCATCTCAGCAACGCGACCACAGGGGCTTTCTCTGTGCGTATACCGTTGCGATGCCTGCTCGGTGTGATGGAAGACCATCGACACATCGTGACGGGTGTGAAACAGGAATTGGTGCTCACGTGGCAGTCACGATCACGCCGCCCTTATCACAACCGAAGCAGTGGGTTCGGAGACGCCGTCCACGGTTGTCTTGACGAAGCTCGAATGGCACATGCCTCGTATTCGCGTAAAGGCGGAAAACCACATCCGCATCCAGAACCTCATCCTCAAAGAAGTTGCCTTGCCGATGGAATTTATGGCGTGGGATCTGCACATCTTCCCTAATGGCCCGAGCACCCAAGGTTGGGTATGGCCGGTGAAGACGTCGTCGGCCCTGGAATGTCCTATGTACGTGATTGTTGCTTTCCAAACAGATCGCAGCAATAAACTCCGAGCGAACGCGTCTGCTTACGACCACCTGAGCGTGACGAACGTGAAGGTGGTAATTAACGAGGAGTACCCGTATCACGACCTCGATGTCGATATGGCTGCAGGACGACTCGGTGAATGCTTCGCCCTGTTCCGGGCGTTTCACGGGAGCTACTACAAAGCAGTGGAATCGGCATCGGCAGTGACACGCACCGACTACAAGGACAAGTATCCACTCTTCGTGTTCGATTGCACAAAGCACGAGTTACAACACTAGGCAAAGCGGTAGACACCCGCATTCATATTGGCACAAAGACCAACATTCCTGCCAACACGACTGCGTACGCGCTCATTTTGCACAAACGCACCTTTGAGTACATCCCCGTGAACGGCACGGTGCGAAAGGTGCCCGTCTAAGACCTACGCGAGAAAGAGGACGAGAAGACTCGCGCCCGTAGAAGCATGTGTGTGTGTGTGTATGATACGATATGAAACATCACACTGTCTATTGTAAAAACGACCCTCACGAACGTCAATAAAGATTGTTGTCTGTGTGAATCAAACCGGTGTTGTTGTTGTTTTTTTCCTCCCTGTGTTTTTTCTTTGGTGTGTGGATATTGTCATTCGTTTTGAATGTGGGGTTGGGGCATGACACATGTTGACAATGGGTTTCACAGTCTCTCTCTCTCTCCATTGCACCCACACACACATTCACACACAGTGCAGGTACGGATATCATGCATACTTACACACACACACACTTACATTCCTTACCATTACGGCGATTGGGGTGGCGCGAACCTGCCGCTCGCAGGGTCCCCGCTCTCGGAGCCAATGGGGAAGGTGGTGGTGGTCCCTTCCTCACCGGCGTCCTGTGTGGAGGAACGTTCTGTGACGAGCATGGTCACGTGACGTGGCTGGGGTTGACCTCTCCATCTGACACACAATGGACGTGTGGGTCGACGCACGAGCACATAAAAGACCACAGGGCACGTCATCACGCGTCAACACTTACCGGCAGCCAACGCTACACGGAGGAGAAAGCGGCATCTGGCCCGTCAGTTTGCGTTTGCATTCCACGCAGTTGCGGATGAGCGGTGGGTATCCCGTGATGAGACAGTAGCAGCACGGGAGGTGACGGAAACACCGCCTTGATCAAGGGGTTCTGTTGCATCGCGGCAGGCAAGGCGTCGAACACAAAGTCGACCTCCAACGCCATCACCGTCACTAAAATGTACTTCGGAATGCGTGCGAGTTGATTCGCCGTCATGCCAAAAAGGGTGCGGTGATGGTGCCACCACCACAGCAGAAAGCCGTTCTCTGTGTATTGTTGACCTACGACATGCAAGCCAGGGGTGACGCACACACCCACACACACACGATGTAGACAAAGGCGTACACATACCACTGAGGGAAGTCGCACTCCCGACGGGCGAACATGCCGGACAATCCCGGACGAAGGGCGGAGGACCGTCCGCAACGTCATTGGCCCGGCGGTACAGTGCTGCGGGGCAATGGCGCGGACAGCACAGGCACAGCCACTGCTGGGACGCGACGGGGCGTGGGTGCCCGGGGCAATAGACAGCCTCGCACGGCGGGATCCTGTCGCAGGTGCTCTGGGAGGCGTGGAAACACCCAGAACACGTCCGCGGCGGCAACGGTTATCAATAAACTCTTTGGAAATATTCGCAGCTGCTGGGCCGAGAACGAGGCAGAACTGCAGGACGAGGTTGTCCGTCGCTCTCGCGTTGACGTGAGTCATGGTGCAGACGTAGATAGTGCAGGGGATGATGCCACACGATCCTGTTGACGTTGTTCTAATAGATAGTGACCGTACGGCAGCGATGTCAACGGATCGCACCAATGCCGTTTGTCGTCCACGCAGCACAAGGTGCGTTTGTGCTGGGCTTCGGAATACACAACGTGCCCGCGTGAGCGTAGTGTGTGTTGAACGGCGGAACGAGGCAGAGCAGTCTCGTCTGTTATAAACCGCTTGTAGTCCTCCAGAGTATACGCACGCACGACACACCGCCATACACCTTTCGCTTTGTTTTTATCACGTTGTGAGACTGTGCGGAACGTGTACATTTTGGGTCGCAGACCGACGTATTCTACAATGTAATCGAGGCACGTTTCGTCTTTCATCACGCCGGGCGTCAACTTGTTGCCCGGACGTATACCGTGGACGTTGTCAGCGGGGAAGTTGGAGGTGTCAAAGTAGTCGGACTGTTCGCGCATGACGTCGTACACGTTGCTGCTCGTGCAATAGAGGAAGCTATCGGTGTCCGTGTAGCAGAGCGCTAAGGTGTTAAAATGCTGCCGCGCAAAACCGTAGTGGAAGCGATACATGGTCTCTTTGGAATGCTCCAAAATGGTAAAGCCAAGATATACGGGTTTGTTCATGGTAACCGATGTCTTTTGCAGTTCGATAATCAACAGATGCATCCCGAGAGGCGTACTGTTCACAAAAGCGGGATGCGCTATCCATTTGCGTGCTCCGGTCCGACCTGTCCACTCCTTTGTCAACACGAACCGCCGATACTGCCGGACGTTTTCGAGGGATTTGCCATAGATGGACACGTTCATGAGTTTGTAGAGATCCCTTTCGAATCGAGATGACGCGGCCTGGCGCAGGCGCGTGTTCAACGCCATGTACTCGGCAAGCCAGGGACGTTGCGCAAAGGTCAGAATGCGATGGACACGTTCGAGGACCACTCCGTATTGCATCGCCTGAACGAGGTTCCGAATGTGTATCATATAGCGCGTCTTCGGTAGCAGCGTGGTGAGCAGTTTCATCTGCTTGCTGCCCGGAGGGCACATGGTGACGGGACAGAACGGTAGATCCGCGAGCGCGTCGTGGATGTGTGGCGGGTACGCCAGGTCGACTTCGAGCACGTACTCGTGTGTCGTCGCGGCGGAAGCAGCCGCGTGTATATCAAAGACTGTACGCTCCGTCTCGGTGAGCCACCGAAACTCGCCGACCGGAAGCGATTGCATCATCGAATGACCGTACAAATTATTTGTCATAGAGCACGAGGTAGCTGTGTTCACGTTCGGGTTGATAGTCCTCTCCGAGACCCGGATGGTTGGCGCGAGCGTGGCGACGATTGAGTTGCACAAGCCCCCCGCGAATACCGCGTTCGAAAAACAAGCATATCAGGATCGGTGAGAAGTTGCAAGGTCTGTTGCGTGTGTTTCAACATGGCGTCGAAACTAAATCCGGGAATGGCGAAGTAATGGAAGGGATCGAGACCGTAGTCGTGCAAACTGGTGTGCCGGAACTTTTCACCGATATCCGCTAAGAGCAGCACGTCAACCTAGAGATAATGCATAGCGTACTCTCTGATGTTACGACATCGAAATACTTGCCACACGCGACGCGCGTGTTCGTAGTCCTCGCGTGAGATGTTGGAGTGTGTCAGCGTATTGGCGAACAGCTCGCGCGCTGGCAATTCGGTTTCGTCCAACCTGTCGACGCTATCAATGTAGTCATACGGAAAGACGCCCTTCCGTCGGCACAGTGCAAACTCGACGGGGTCGGGGAAGTAGTGACGTACGCAGTGCATGTCATCGTCCGGTACATTGGCACTCAAGGTGTCGAGGGAGCCCGCGAGAAATTTGTAAGAATCGAGAAAGCGCACCTCGACACCCTGCGTTCGATACATAAAGGTAATAAAACGTTCGGCATTCTGCGCGATAATCTGAATCTTCTTCGAATGATGTGTTGCGAGGGCGTGGACGATAAAATGCCAATCGTAGGCAGCGCCATTGTGAATGACTATTGGGAGTTTGGGTAAGCGGTACAGCACATTGCATTGCTGATGCGCAGCGCCCCGAAACCGCCCCGACAGATGACAATGATCGCGTACCCTGTCGTTCCCGAGTGGTTTGTCGCAAATGTGACAGTGTCGCAGAGAGAAAGCATCGCTCATCCTCGTCACGCATGTGGAGCGCGTGGGGGTGTTTGAGGAGCGTCGCGTATTCCGCGGCGAGTGCATCGCATTGTTGCAAGAACCAGGCGGCCGGCGTTTCGCCGCAGTACGACAGGAAGCGCGAACGCGACGGATCGAAATCGCAGGCCACGTACAAGCCGATCGCGTAGGGTTCATGGCGCTGGTAGGCCTCCGTCCACGGGGCGTGCGGATCGGGCTGCGTCGAGGCGATAAGCAGGAGGATCGATTCAAAGTCCGCATACACGACAAACGGGCATTTGCTCTGTTTATGGATGTTTTCAAATTTTAACTTGTCACGGGGCGGGGCGGGCATAAGCAGGCGCACGGGTGTTGAGGAGCGACAATCCTCGTGTGTCGCCAAACGCGCCGGCGACTCAAAATGGAGCAAGCAGCGATCGCAAATGTACAGTGTGCTTTCGTCGTATTTGTGAGGACAGCAACCGACCTAAACTCTTAATCCACACGTAATGTGTCCTCACGTGTGCTTCTCCCTGCTCCTCCTCCTCCTCCTGTTCGTCCCCCTCCACTGTGAGAAGCAGCAGATTGACATGTTGCGCCTTTTTGTCGCGGGTGTAGTACAACGGACCCACCACGTGCCATTCCCGGGGGTTGTCAGGCTTGCGTTCGAGACCGTACACGTTGACCGACAGCGTAGGATTCTGTTTTTCGAATAGACGTAAGTGGGTGAGCGAGACCGGGAAGGCAATGCCGGACAGGTTCAGCGTCCTTCGCAACTCATCGAAGATGACTCTGTAGGTGTTCGGGCGATTCTTCCGTTCGCCGAACGGAAGACTGCCGTGGCGCGTGACGTAGAGCACTAGCGAGAGACCAGAGAAAGCAAAATGAATCGTCATTTTGGATGTTGACCACGGCATGTTTCAATGCAATGTTTCTAGGACATGGCAAATAGGACGAACCGGATGCGTGGATAGGATCGAACGTGTGCGGCGTCACGTGCAGCGCGTCGAGCGCGTGCAGGGCTTTGCCGGACTCGCGTTCGTGGAATTCGTCAAACCGCGCGTTCAACACATCCCGAATGTGTTCGAAGTACCATTCCCCGATGTTGGGGCCTAGAATGTCCGCGCGCGTCAGCAGTGCAGCGTGTGGCAGAGATAAATAAATAGTTTGTAGAATCGGCTCTACCGTGTGTGTTTCCGGGTTGCGTTTATCCAACAAAAAGTCACATTGCAGGGACACACACACTTTGTACGCTACTGGACCGTCTACTTGTGAAAGATTGGTGAGCACGGTTTGAGCAAAAGGTACATAGCACGCGTTTAGAAATGCGAGCGGTTCTCGAAACCCCGCAGTATTGGCAATCACACCACGGTGTACATGACCACCGAAATGACTCATCACGTCTGTCCATTGCAAGGGCGAACGGATGACACCTGTACGACAAAAGAACAACTCCACATTCAGAAACAAACAAACAAACGCGTTCCATGCATTTGCACACACACACACAGCACTCACCGGCCATGTTGAGCGGGCTGGAACAACTCCCAGACTACGCCACGTCACAGCGACCACGTCCTGATAAGGCAGAGAGTGCGCTCACACACGTACACACACACACACAAACACGCCGACAGGGTGCGTGGACTACTCCATCGGCATATCATCATTAACCTCCTCCTCCAGAAAGAGATCATGGTATCGGCTGAGCAGGTGTTGTGGTGATACACGGCGAAGGTCCCGGGTGTAGGGGTCGGCGCCGGCCACGATCAACATCAGCGCCACGAGCAGGTGTCCGTTCTCAGCAGCATGGTGGAGAGGGGTGCGACCCAGGGTGTCCCTGACGTCGAGTCCGTCACGACACATGCCGCAGGCGATGGCAGCACCTCCCCGCGTCGTGCGGCATCGTGCAAGAAGGTAAGGCCCGTGCCCACGTTGAACTGGAAGAGGTGGTGCAGATCGAAAGGCATGATACCACGTCGACGAACGACTAGTGCGGTCTCTCCTTCTTCTCCTCCTCGTCGTCGTCGTCCTCCTCCTCTCCCTCCCTCGCACGCGCACTCGCTTCGCTAGTGTCTTCGTCCGAGGATGGCGTCGCTGTCCATCCGGGCGAGCGACAGTCACTCTGTGCAAGATTCAACGCTCTGTCCACCCGTTCGTACACACGATGGCGATACCGTTCTGGAAACGACACCATGCGTTTGTGCATCAACGTTTGGTACACGCTATCACCACACGTGGAGAACACACACACGCAAGCAGAAGCGAGCGCTTGCCGTAAAACGGGTTTGACGGGTGCAGGTGGTCTAACACTTTACTGACGACATCCGAGAGGACGGCCACGTCTGTCTCCAAGCAGGACTGTCCGTACACCCACGGAAACACAGTGTCATCCCGCGGAAAGATATGCCTGATGCGGTATCGTCTCTCCGTCAGAACAAAGGAAAGTTCTTTCAGGACTGCAACTGGATCCTCGCATGCACGCACACGTTGCTCAAAATACGCCTCCAGTGTCGTCTTGAAGACGATCGCAGCACGGGTAAACGTGTCGATACGTGATGACGTTTGCCGGTGCGTCAGAAAGTCCACAACGTTCCTCTTTTGTGGCCTGCGCGGCACGCACTGTCCTGCCCCCCACCTCGATGACGCGTACCGTGTAAGCAGGATCGGCCATGCAAATTCTAGGTGGCGTATCGCAATGTACTTCTGTATCACCACGGTCTTCTCCTCCTCCTTCTCGTCCTTCTCCATCTGCACACACCTACACCCCCTCGTCACTGACACTGTCTTCACCCAAACTCTCGAAATCGTTTTCATCGCCGCTCCCTTCACCCTCTCCCACTGCTTCTACAATGCTTTCCCCACACGCGCTCGTACGCAGCACACGTGACGTATCTTCTTCACACACCTCCAAGGTCCTCTCGTTTGACGGGGTCTCGGTAGACGACAAGGACGATGATTAAGACGATGGGCCGAGTACCTCGTGTGCGAAAAACGAATCCTCTGAAGACACTAGCGAGGAGGGAGACGAGGAGCCGGACGAGGAACTGGAGACGGGGTGGTTACTCGGCACCGCGATGCGGAAGATACGTGCCAGCACGTGCGCTACACATGCTTTACGAAAGGTCGGTAATGTCCGCCGCACAAAGACGCGAAACGTAAGAAGGTCCATGCGAAACAGCTCGGTCAGCAGTTCCACTCGCGTGAATCGACTATAGGTCGGAAGGATCTGACGCGCGAGATCGATACACGTTCTCATGAAAGGGAGATCGTCCGTCACGACGGCCCCGCCGAACAACCACGGAAACACCGTTTCGTGAGGATCACTAATAGTTCTTAATTTCTATGAGGATCACTAATAGTTCACGTAAGGGGGTGAGGTCCTCGTCCGCGCGGAGTCGCACACGCACGTAGTCGAGTAAATATCGACGAAAGACGTGTGCGTGGCGAAAGCATGCCTATTGATGCGCGCGTGGGTGTCCCGTTGTGCCAGGACGTGCACGATGCTAAAGCGTTGCCGTCGCTGCCGGAGGTCCAACGCCTGTCGCGCACCCCACCCTGTGTGGTCTTGTGCGGGCGGGAGCAGCGGCCACGCCACCTCCACGTCACGCAGTGCAAGGAACCGTTGCACGAACTCCTCTTCCCCTTCCATGCAACGCACACACACACACACACACACACACACCGGTAGCGCTAGGGGTTCAATTTAACCATCAACTTCAGCGCCCACGAGCAGGTGACCGTTCTCCACAGCATGGTGAAGAGGGGTGCGCGCGAGGGTGTCCCTGTCGTCGGTCCGTCACGGTACATGCCGCAGGCGCTGGCGACAGGCGGCACCTCATCGCGACGTGTGGCAGCGTGCAAGACGGGTCAGTCCCCCGTGTCCACGTTGAACTGGAAGAGGTGGTTTAGATTGAAAAGGGTAGATGACTGGTGTGTGTGTGTCTCCCTCCCTATCTCTCCTCCACCACCCTTTCACTGCTACACACACACACACACCTTCACGCTGCGCGTGGCACCGTGGGGCAGTCACGTCTACCGTCTCCGCCTCCATCCACTCTCTCTCGCGCTCTTTGCATTGCTCTTTCTCGCACATGTTTTTTAAATATTTCCCAACTCTCACCGATGCGCACATGTTGCGCCAGCGAGAATCCGTTGACTTCTATCCCTCCGTCCGCACCGTGTTGGAGTAATATTCGTGCAGTCGACCACCGTTCAAAGTATATCGCATGTTCCAGCGGCGTCCATCCTTCCCTGTCGCGCAAGCCTACAATGCTATTTGCACCGCCCCTACCACCCTCATTCAAGCAGCATAGCACAATGTCGTTATTACCAGCCTGGACCGCCAAATGGAAAGGCGTGACACCCGTACACGGAAGCCGGATGAAGTAATTGCTTATGCGTGTTCTCACGACCATGTTGATTCACTCTCTCACACTCTCCCTGTTTCACTCTCACTCTCTCTCCGTGTTCGTCACACGCCTCCGATTGGCGCTGGGGCAGCCGTGACAGAACACTTACGCACACACTTACACAGCACCGTCGCTGCAGACCCTGCGTGTCTGAGCTGTACGAACCTCACCCAACAGTTGCTGGTGCTGTCACTTCGACTGCAGCGCGGAGACTTTCCTGTTGTAGCGCCGACGACTGATGGCGTCCCTCTACCAGCTGGCGTCTTTATATTGCTTGGCGGAGCCTGCTTTTTTCTCTTCGCGCGATGGTGGGTGGGAGCAGGGGGTGGGTCTCGCTGTGTCACCTCGGCACAGTCGCTCCGCCAAGATACATGTCACTTGGCTTGTTTGTGACTAGTTCTTTTCACATCACATAACCACTAGGTGAGTGAGTATGTTTCGTAACACACACTAGGAAAATAATACTTCTGTCTTGAAAGGTCACTTGCCATCGCGTAACCGCAAGGTTAGAGCTATGAGTGAGTATCTGTTTCTAGTCCTGACACAGACTAGGAAAATAATACTTCTGTCTTGAAAGGTCACTTGCCATTGCGAGTTGTTGTTTTCACATCGCGTAACCGCACGGTTAGAGATATTCCTATATAACGTGGTGGAGCGCGCTCCGAAGCATTACTTTGTCTGCAGCTCTCCACGACACCACATCGTCGAGGCTCTCCGTGATAGAGGTAAGCCATCCTTTCTTCACTCATGCTTGACATATGCTTCGACATGACATGTGCTTCAACATTACACATTCGAGCACTACAAATATTTCTGTTTCTCCACTATAGTATTGCAAGTGTTGACCATCGTTTTGTGAAAGATGACCACACGCAGCAACAGCATGGTGATGTCACAGGATGCCGACGACATGTAAGTTGTTGACGTAGGATGGGCCTGTAAGTTTTTTGTTGGGGTGTTTTTTTTTTTGTTTTTTTATTCTGACTTAGCCTTCGATTTCTACATTTGTTTCTTTCTATGTCTTGCAGTGGTGACCCACTTCCCATCCTCGACTGCTTGAACACCCTGGCTGAAGGGCATGCTGATCACGCAGAGACGGTCTTCTTAAGAGATTTGAAACAGGGGGAACCGTACGCCATCACCAATGCAAAGACAGTTGACGTCAAAGAAGGACAACGCATTGTTCTCACTTTAAACAACACTATCGCTGTCTTTCTCCCAGCTCGCTTCAGCACCATGGACCCGGCCATGTTCAAAGATAAATATTTGACGTACTTTGGCAAAGAGCAGAGAGGG